GGTTAGGTTATCTAGATAAGGGATAAATTACCGGATAAGCCTGGGGACTGGTCGCCTGCTCGCCACGCCATGGCGACGGCCGGGGCGCTGGGCGGGGCAGCAGTAGCAGGGCATGCGCCCCACTTCACCCGCCCCTCCCCGCCCCATCCACCTCACGCACCCCGCCCCACCGCGAACCACGCTCACCTGCCGCTGGGATGGACTGCTCGAGAATGAGTTTAAAAAACAGAATAAAAACACCGAGAATTTATAATACCGGGGCTGCGGGGTCTGTTTGCTCTATGGCCGGTTGTAATGCAGTGTTGCTCTATAACGACCGCCGCGCCAACCCTTTGGGAATGGGCAAGCGCACGAGACAGAGAAAAAAAGTTGGGAATGGGCTTGTAACTACCTGGAATTTAGGCACCTAAAGCGTACATAAATTACATTCTCGAGTAGACTCGGTCATAATCTGCACTGCAAACTTAAGTCTGTAACAAGGCTAGGATTACTGTGGAAAACAAAATAATTCAAAATCTAAAAAAAAGAAACAAAAATAAATAGTATTTTAAGAGGTACTCAAAATAATTTTCCCTTTACATGTAGAGTCGACATAATTTTACTTTTCATGTGTTAGCCATTTCAATCTATTTTTTCTTGTTTTGCTATTAAAAAATTTCGAGAAAATTCAGTTTTGTCATTACGTCGTTTGAAGTGGCCAGAACACATGACAAGTAAAGTCATGCCCACGCTCAATTTAAGGGAAAATTTTGTGTAACTCTGAAAAGACTAGTACTTAAATTCGTTGTTTCTTTTTCTTTCCTCTTTTTCGACATCAATGCAGCTCAGTGCGGACCGGTGAAAAATTTCTTTTGTGCCCTATTAAAAACCAAACTTGTTTCACGTAAGATGAAATGCATAAAGCGCCGCACGCGATACACAAAAGGGCGGGTCTCATTGTGAGCTTCGCCAACTTGCTCCTGTCCACTCGGCGGCGTCGAGATAACGTCTCGTCATTCACTCATTGATTGGAGTTCGATCTCGGGGAAAAGAGCGGGGCGGGTGAGCGAGTGAGTGGCGAGGGAGAGGGGGAAGCAAGTCACTGTTATGAGTCGTCCCTTTTTATTCCATCTCTCTCTCTCTCTCTCTCTCTCTCTCTC